TTTAAGTTATTATTGAGAGCAGTCATGCCCAAATCAAAACTAAAACTTGATATTTCCTGTTTAACACCAAGGCAGCAACGACGTAATTTTTTGAAAGATCTTAATAATATTCGTAACCGGTCTGTTAATTTCAATACTTCACAAGTTGAAAATGATGTTGTAAGCGAATCAAATGTACAAGACAGCATAGAGCCTCAGCAGCAAAATTATATAAGGCAAGTTGACGTTGACGATTCTAATGTAATTGACAATGACGTGTTAAAATATGACTTAATTTCTATATGTTCAGGAATTAGTGCTAATAAAAGTAATCTTTCATCGAGCAATTCTGACAAGGATTCGTTCATTGAAACCGAAATATCGGAAGAGATTCGAAGGTGGGCTATTGAGAATTGTTTAAGTCAATTTGCTATAAGCGGTTTATTGAAAATTTTAATAAAATGCGGCCATGACCTTCCTGCTGATGCACGAACTTTGCTTCGAACTCCGAAGCAAGTTAATAATATTATTGAAATAGAACCAGGGAATTACTATTATGCAGGTTTAGGTGAAAGTTTGAAAAAATCTATTCAAAAACATTACTCAAAAGCTTCTTGCCCATCGCAAATTAATATTAATGTTAATGTAGATGGCCTTCTCTTAACAAAATCTTCCGGCAGTCAATTATGGCCCATTTTGGCTTGTATAGTGGTAGATTTTTACACCAAACCATTTATCGTTGGTGTATACCATGGTAGTAAAAAGCCAAAATGCAGTAACAATTTTATGCAATATTTTAAGAACAATTGCATAAAAATTCTTCAATCAGGCATTATTGAATATAATAAAAAAATAACTGTTAAAATTAATGCATTTATTTACGATACTCCTGCCAAATTATTTATCAAAGGAATTGTTGGGCATAATGGACATTTTGGTTGTGGCAATTGCATACAGGAGGGAGATTACATCGAACATAGAGTAACATTTCAAGAAATTAATGCGACGCTGAGATCGGACGAATCTTTTAAGTTATAGCAACAAGAAGAGCATCATAAATTCACGTCAAATCTTGAAGAACTGGACATTGGAATGGTCACGCAATTTCCTTTAGATTATATGCACCTGGTATTGTTAGGAGTGATGAAAAAATTGTTATACTTTTGGGTGAAAGGTAAACTTGGTATACGTTTTGTGCCAGCTCTATTAGAGCATATTTCAACTTTCTCTCTGTCATTGTCGATATTCCTACCCAAGGAATTTGGTAGAAAACCGAGAGAGCTAAATCAGGTCGATCGGTTTAAGGCTATTGAATTTAGACAATTGTTATTATATACTGGTCCTGTAATATTTACTAAAAATTAATTTTGTCGTACGTTTACTTCTTAAGCCTCAGTGTAGCGATACGAATTTTGTGTTCTAAAGAATATTACGTACAACTTCTTGATTATGCGCAAAGCTTATTGGTGTATTTCGTTGAAAATTACGGTGTATTATATGGTTATCAGCATGTCTCGTATAATGTGCATAATTTAGTTCATCTGTGCAACTACGTGAAATTATGGGGAACGTTGGACGAATTTAGCGCATTTAAGTTCGAAAATCACATGCAAAAAATTAAAAAAAAGATCAGATTTTTAAGTCGGCCATTACAGCAGTTAGTTAATCGTTGCATGGAAGAAAATAATTTGAATATTACGCGCAAAGAAAAGAATTATCCAATTCCTAAATTCAGTAATATTACAAATGCTAACGGTGAAAGGCTAATAAAATCGATTCAATGCAAGGATTCAATGCAACTTCTATCTTAGTACAAAAGCTGCTGATAATTGTTGCTCTTTGCTAGACGGTACAATGATTTCGCTTACAAAAATTTATTTTAAAAATAACAACTTTTTTGTTGATGGTAAAAAGTATTTGAACGTCAAATCATTTTTCGAAATTCCATGCGACTCCTTACATGTTGGAATTAAACAAATTAACGAGTTACAATACGAGTTAATCAGTACTTTTTGTCTGACATTAAAACAAAATGCGTAAAACTGCCGTTATGCGAAGAAGAAGTTGTAATATTGCCTTTACTCCATCAGCAAGAAATATTTTCATGGCGAGTATTGAGATATTAGTTTAACGCATGCAAATAAAACAAATTAATATAATTTATCAAATATTATTATTATATTACTTCGACAGATTTTCAACAATGATTATTATTATTATATTACTTCGATAGATTTTCAACAATGATGAAAGATTACGCTGTCGTCACGTTTACACAAGATGGAAATGAGAAGCAAAAAATTGTATCAGAGGTGCCAAGTGTATGGCTCAGTATGGCTCCAACTACAATCATCAAAATGCTGGTGGCCATCACTAAAAAATATAAATACTTTAATCGCAAAACAAGCTTTGCCTGATATTGATGACCCTAAGTGGTGTCTGTATCCTGTTGAATTTCATGGATATTACGGTAATCTGTATTTTATTGTATTGTTGCGCCCATACTTTTCGCCGCTGATGCTGTGTGTTACAGTTGACGGACCGATCGATAATATCGATCGGTCACTAGAAAGTTGAAGCTAAATGGCATATGTTAATAATCTTTCTTATATTCGTTGTCAAGACAACGAATATTGATTAGCGGTTTAAAGGGTCTCTATGACAGTTTATAAACAAACTGTCATATGTCAGATCTTGGATAGCTGTCTGCTCGGGCGGACGTTTATGACAGCTCCGATCTTTGAATTGTATTATTGGTTACTTATTATTGAGTTCTGTGTTTATTATTAAAGTGTTTATTTTCATAAAAAGTGTTGGTTTATTTATGCGAACTGTGCGACGCGTTTCGGAAACGTAACAGTATATTTAGCTTGTATGTTATAATATGTTGAAAAACAATGTAACATGAAAAGTACAATTTTGTTCCCACAAAGATTCTTTAGAACAGGCTAGAGAGA